GGGTTGCTCCTGAAGAACATCCGGTTCTACTTACTGAAGCCCCACTCAATCCCAAAACGAATAGGGAAAAGATGACGCAAATTATGTTTGAAACCTTCAATACTCCGGCTATGTACGTTGCAATTCAAGCTGTGCTGTCCCTTTACGCGTCTGGCCGTACCACTGGCATCGTTATGGATTCGGGTGATGGTGTTACCCACACCGTACCAATTTATGAAGGCTACGCTTTACCACACGCAATATTGCGTCTAGATCTCGCTGGGCGTGACCTTACTGATTACTTAATGAAGATTTTGACAGAACGTGGCTATTCATTTACCACGACGGCAGAAAGGGAAATTGTTCGTGACATTAAAGAGAAATTGTGTTACGTTGCACTAGACTTTGAGCAAGAGATGGCAACAGCAGCGTCTTCATCTTCATTAGAAAAATCTTATGAACTTCCAGACGGTCAGGTTATAACAGTTGGTAACGAAAGGTTCCGATGCCCTGAAGCACTTTTCCAAGTTTGTTTTTAAAATCACCAGTCTTTGCTTCTGAGACTTTTAGGCTAGGTTAGTGCGCAGTCTGTGTCGATTCACACTCTAATCTTTGACCGGTCGAATTGAGCTTGCTGTAAACTACTTTTGGAATCTTATCGTTTTTTTCACATCTTTGTTTTTATTGCTACTAGAATTTGATTTAGCCTTCCTTCCTTGGCATGGAAGCTGTTGGCATTCATGAGACCGCCTACAACAGTATCATGAAGTGCGATATCGACATCAGGAAAGATCTGTATGCAAATCTTGTGCTGTCGGGTGGTACGTCAATGTATGCCGGAATCGCAGATCGTATGCAGAAGGAGCTTACTGCCCTTGCTCCTAGGTAATTGAATTAGAAATGGCGATTAAACGTCATAGTTTCTAAAGCATTCTTAAAACTGCATAGTAAAGTGTTTAAAATCGGTTAATTTTTTATAGCACCATGAAAGTTAAAATTGTTGCGCCTCCTGAAAGGAAATATTCTGTATGGATCGGAGGTTCCATATTATCCTCTCTTTCCACCTTCCAACAGATGTGGATTTCCAAACAAGTCAGTGGCGTTTCTGTGTTCGGGATTAAAACAGCATTAATGATCTAGTTTGTAGACCCTTCCAGTTCGTTGCTCAATGCAGTAGAACCGTTTTGCAACTTTTTGTTCATTTTCATTTCTGATGTACAACTTTCAGGAATATGATGAGTCGGGACCATCGATAGTTCACCGCAAGTGCTTCTAAAAAAATTGAGATTTACATAGGCAGCAGAACGCGCGCTCATCTGGCTGTGATCTACTTTTCCTCACTAGGATGTTTTTTTCCGCACTACTCAAATCATTTTTTGCCGTCGACAATCTATGGAACATTGTAGAGAGAAATAGTAGCGCAATTCCTTTGTAAATATGTTAATGTCTCTATGGCTTGAATTTTTGTTATTCAGTTATAGAAGTCTAATTTTCAATATGGACCGGCGATTTAAAAATAAAACTTTGTCACAGTCATTTAGCACCGATTGTAATACTCTACGCGGAAGTGTTTGCTTGTCTTGCACTATTTATGGGTCAAGCCCGTTAGACTTTGTTTGACGATCGTGGCTGGTTTACATCCGTTGGTCAAAGCGTTTTTCAGGCGGGGGGTTTGTGTTTTTTTGACCGTCCGGCAGCATTGTTGCTTGGGCTTCTGCTAGAAGCGGTTGGAGGGCTTGGAGTGGAAGTGTGTTAATAAGAGTTTGGAATAGATAAAGTTTGCTGGTTTTTTGTCGAAGTAAACTTTTTTCGACTTGAAGCGACGGTTGCGGGTTTCTAGAACATTCTCTGTTAGGACAAGTACCACAGGGCGCAGGTGGCATCGGGTAATGGCTAAACAGAAGTCGTTTGTGCGAACTGATTCAAATTTGCTAAATTGAATTTTTGTTTACCAGAGAATTCTTTTGTACCAAGGTCATCTGTTTTCAAAATTTGTGCTTAAGAGGTGGTGACCGTGGAGAAAATTTCAACACCAGTTTAAACGTGGGGAAAGGTGCATTGAATACCTTTGTCTTTCATCATTACTATGAGGTTGTAAAGGCCTATCAAGACAATTGACTTGTCTGACTATGACAGAAACTGCCTTTGTTCATGAGTGGGTTGCGCTCTATTACTGCAGTGTATATTCTACCCTTATATATTTTTTATCTAAATCCTTTGATCAAAATTTCTGAGATGCTCTCTGTAACTGTCAACCAGAAGCAAATACTCGTACCAAAGTGAGGCAACCTTTTGTAAATACTTTCGTGAATTTCAGGCAGCACACTTTTTAGCTCCTTCAGCAGACTGATTTACGTAAATGCATCCCCAAGAAAAAAATAACGGACCATTTAGCTTACGTCACGCATAAGGCTGCTTAACTTCTTAACCAGGACTCTTTGAAACGAGTTTTTAAAGTGCCTTAGCGAAGTCAAATTCTGAATGCTCATTCGTTTTTTGGCATTTATATTTTCTGGCACATAAGTACTTTTTACGGCCGTTATGGGCAAATCTCAGTGCGGTGAGTTACCGCTAAACACATTTTCTGCATTAAAAACATATGAACACAAAAGCTTAAGAACCAGTTACAGGTGATTGGCTATTGTTTACCCCTCTTAACAGCCCTAAGCTGGTGGAAGCAAACTTTAATTGTACAGTTAAGCCGGGGTAGACAAGAGACCGTCAACAGATTAATAGGAGGTAACGTTTCATTAAATTAATGGCGCAGCGATACTCTTGGCTTCCGAAAAATGTTGCTATGAAACCTGTTCAGTTCTTCAAAAAGTTAGATGTCTTTAGGGAACGGAAACAACCATATACTAATCATGGATTCCCGATGGTGTACCAAAATGAGTAGCAAAAGGTAGAACAGCAATGACACACGTTGACCAACCCGTCTCCAAAATACAAGTTTTATAAGTATGCATCAGCTATGGCTGCCTTTAAGGTGTTACAACTTATCTGTGATCCAGACAATCTAGCCTTATGCGCATTACAGAAACTACAAACAGCATAATCATTATAAAAATCTCTAAATTATTGCTGACACTCCAGTAACAAAATCAGAAGACAAAAGGAAAGAAAAAGAATTAGAGGAGCGAAAAGTGCAGCATGATGCGAGTTTCTTATCTGTATCTTCTATTTTGTCAACAGAGCTGCTTCAAAGATCACCTCGTTTGATCGCTAAATAGAAGCGGAGTTTTTTTTTCAATTTCTAAATGGTCTTTTGCGTTATTCTTTGCTACAGTGAGTATTCGGCTGTTCCTGGGGCTTCCTGATTTTGTCCCGGATCGTTTGGTTGGAGTGCTCTTTGCTGAACGACTGCTGTGGTCCAATCTCTTCTTCTCTTGGTTATTGTGACTCTGTTACTTCCATTCTCTCGATGAATTAAAGATACTACTCGGTTGTCTCATCCGAAATTCTACAAGGCAATCGTTCTTTCAGGGTTTACGAAGTTTCTGCACCATTGTATAAGACAATCACAACACTGTTTTCTTTCTGGCTATGAATGTAGAAGTTGTTTAAAGGGACTGATATTGTTAGCTTAGTGTCGTTGAAAATTGTTAATACCTTTCTTTTGTACTTCTATATCTAATTTTATCTGAAGGTTTTTTTTTCCTTTTATATATTTCGTTCTTCTTAACTCATTTTAAAGCATTCACATTGTTAGCAATGCTGCATAGACTATTGGAAAATACGTTAATAAGAGTGGGTTTTAAAATTTTTAAGTACGGCTTTTCAGCTGTTTTTAAAATGCATATCTTATTAAGCAGAAATTCCTACAATTAATTTTGGACATCTTGCAGAAAACAGGTGGGCAAAAAGAATGTATAAATTTCTGCAGCTATTTGGTAATATAAGTATGTCAGTTTATGTTTTTACTTGGTAGATCTCCAAAGGCTTCAATGAGGGGCTGTAGTTCTTATAAAGAGGAGTGCTAAGAATTGTAATTCATCGTCAAGAAGTTTGATATTGGCTAAAGGTTCGAAAGAGCAGTCCTAATCCAATTTTGATTACAGTGTAAGTGGTCTAATCAATCCTTTGATAGCGGTTCTGCTAGTTATCATTTATTGCAGAATTACTCTGCCAAATTTAACAAGTTTTCACCCATCTTAAAAAAAAAAAAAGATTTTATTTTTCGCATTAGAGTTAACATGCATTCCTTTGTAAATACTCTTTTATCATAGCAGTAAAATTGTTAAACGCAGTAGGTTAAAAATACTGAATGAATGATGAGTACAGTGGGTTAGCGATGGAACGTTTAAAGAGGGTTGTTTTTTCATCGGACATTAAGTGCCTAAGAACCACTGTCTAAAGGTAAAAGATTTATGGACGTTTATTCATCGGCAGTACCATGTAAAATATATCAAAAAAGTTCAGTAACAAACGACTGCCTTCACTGCTTAAAGCGTAGGATGCATGATAGTCTCGACAAAACCAGTCGCATGGTAGTCTAGACAAAAACAGTAGAAAATACCAAAAATTTTAACTATGAGAATTTGTTGAAATAAAACAGTATGGAACAAGCAAAGAACCGACTTAATCGTAAATTTTCTTTCGCTTGTACTTCTTCACTTATAGTGATAATCGTAAAAACAAGGACAATGCAATTGAAAGATCAGCTGTAAAATTGTGTTCACTTACTCCGTACAAATGGATCACTAGTTATCACTACCATGAGGGAAAGAGTATAACAAAGAGCGTAACAAGTCCAGTTATGATATGTTCGATACCTAAAGTGAAAGAATATATAGAATAAATAACTGTTGAGCGGTTATGTTCGTCCGTATGCACTTGCTTTAAGTTGGTGCATCTCATAATAGTCATAAGATACCAAGGTATTTTATAAAACTACGAAACGTTACAAAAGCGTCGGACATCAAAAGAGGCAGATTAAAAAGGACACTAAGTAGCTAGATGGAGGTTAACAAATTTTGAATAGTAAAAAAATCAAGAAAGATTTGGAAGTTAATTGCAAAAAAATTAGCCGGTTCATTAACTTTTGAAAAAAAATGTGTAAAATGGCCTCAATTAGTTCAAGAATCCTTTCAAAAGACAGAAAAAAATTTTTAGGAAAAATCTGGTGAAAGAGGGAGGATTGCTGGAAGTTATTAAGTGTCGTAGAGGTATTCTAGCTAAGAGACCTGCTTATATCGAGTACTGATAGAGTACTAGGTAGATTGCTGTATCTTAAAGCAACATTTTCTGGGACTTCTGAAGTTTAGCTAGTTAGTATTGCTGCAAAGCTTACTGGCATATTCTATCACATTTCAAGCGCTTTTAAATCCTCTAGATTCGAAAAAGTGCTACTGTCTCTCAAGGATTCCAGCAACCGTTGGTCTGTTTTAGGCACAGATGTAACCACCCTCGACCGAGGCACCAATAGCGAGTAACTTTTCAGCAATTTCCATGGCACTTTAGAAGCATTGGCCGATGTGTTTTTTTACCAAGTTCACAATATCAGCTGCTTTTTTCTTCTATCTCCTTAGATTGTGCGTAAAATTTACACCTTGCTTCAGAGCGATAGAATTTATATGCATCATAGTATGCCCTTCTTTTTGCAAACGAAATACGTTACTACCCCCCTAAGTGTTTTGAAATTCCTGCTCGCAAAAGCCGTTTTTTAGCATGCATTTGTTATCAATAAAAAATCATAAACTGAAGGGTTTATTTGGTGGAGAAAATAAAGTAAAGCCCGGACAAGAAGTACTGCGAGAAACCTGAACTGGGTAAAGACTTTCTGTTTTTAACTTACGTTTAGTAATAAAGCAAAAAAATTAAGAAGAAACTTTATAAGCTTCAAAGATTAGTTTAAATCAGAGAAAACCTAATCTGATATAGCTATTCTAGTGAGATAAATCAAAATTGTTACAGTTAAGCGTGACCACCCCAAAGCTTAATTTTTTGGGTGATTTTAATCCCGATACCCACACAGTTATAGTCTTCTAGCTGCACATGTATGCAGAATTTAGTGGCCGTTACTAAAGTAATATAACTCCTTACTGATGAGCACTTTTGCGCACAACCATGACGCTGCACACCGTTCAAATTCAGCATATGTGAAAATGCATAAAGTTCAAATTATAATTTAAAGACAAGTTTTTGGAAGTTAAGAAGAAAGGAATCAGAAACCCCGAAGTTGCTATGGATGTATAGCATCGGGTTTAAGACGTGTTCAAAAAATGAAGATACGTTATCAACAAAAAAATTGAATTTGGGTCTTCATATGCCCAATCGCAACGGCGTCGAACAATTGTGTTGATTCTACATTAATTATACCTTAGCAGTTTTAATGAAAATTCCTATACTTTTCCAGTAATAAATAGAAATGTTTCAAGCGAGTAGCATTTCAGCAAACTTACGTATTAACACTGGAGGCACAAATTAGATCAAAAAACTTACGACTCCACTGAAAGAAAAGACTTAAGTATCAACCATCAATAATAGATGACTTTTCAAGTTAATTCTTGATCCTTGCCCAGAATTTTGTTACCGTAGATAATTTATTAACATTAAATATAGTTAACTTGAAAAAACATTACTTTCCGTGTGGCGACGCTGCTGGATGCAGCCATTCTTGACTTTCTCAATTCTGTGTCTGCCTCTAGCATCGGTGCACGATAAGATGAAAGCATTCCATTGTCCCCTTCTTGAATATGCTCCTCAAGCACTTTTGACTCGGTGCTTCCTCTAGTTGGTAGTTCTGACACTGTGGTACTCTGACTTTCAGTTGGTTCTTTTTCTGTCTGAGGCATGAAGGTTGTTTTTTTTTCTGTCTGAGGCATGAAGGTTGTTTTTTTTTCTGTTGGAGGCATGAAGGTTGTTTTTTTTTCTGTCTGACGCATGAAGGGTCTTGTTGTAACGAAGGTCGTTGTTGATGTTGATTTAGTCGTAGTTTCTGGTGGTGCAGTTGGTTGTGCAGTCGGCTTTTCCGAGGGGGCCTTTCCGGTCTTGTCCTTACACGTAATTAATTGAGTTCTCTGCAGAAATTCGCAGGCACTTCTAAATATCGTGCCTGAAAATTCTTGTGATTAAGCTGTATTTTGTCATTCTCTACTTAATCATTAGAGTAAAAAACACTCTGATCAGCTACAAGAAAGTTGAACGACTGCTGGTTTGGAAAAATTTCTTGCAGTTTAAGAAGCAAGCGTGACTGTTGGTTTCCAGATAATTGTGAAGCTGCTGATTACGAGTGGCTATGGTGCTGTGTAACATAAGTCACTTAAATACTTTTGAAATTTTGATACACACACATTTGAAGCAAGGAGCAGTTTGTGCTCCTACAAAAGGACGTTTAAAACCCCTGTTCTTTGGGATTCTACGAGCGACTCACCTCCCAGAAAGAAAAAAAGAATATAAAGAATGGTTACAACTAGAGGCCTGATAAGTAACTGGGACAAATTAAATATCTCCAGTTTCAGTTTAAGTTTTCTAGAATACTTCAGATTTATTGCCCTAGGACCTGTTAGAGTAATAAGGTGTGAAAACTAATGGTAATTCGAATTTGAAAAGTAATAAAATTATGCTTTTTTCTGAGGCAGTCAAGTTTTCAAGGTGCACACAGGGAAAGAAGCGTCAGCCATTACTGACCTTTACCGGAAAACCTAATCCACCTTGACCAAAAACTAAAGTATTTCTTGTTACCGATTTCTTCGGCACTCGAAGTTTTCGTTGGTGGCTTCTTTTCTGAACCTTTATTTCCACAGTAGACAAAGAGGTTGGCATAGGCTATTCCCTTTCTCCTTTAAACATGATTGGTGGCTTGTTGAAAGGAATCTACACTTTTATCCTGAAACTTAAACGAAAAAGTCAGCTGGAAAAAAGAACTTAGTACGTTGTTGTTAGTTGACGCCAGCAGATATGTTATCTACTTGTTTCAAAAACTGACGAAGCGCTGAGAATATTCCAGTATAAAGCTAAAGTTTTCTGCGTCTGAGCGAGAAAGCTGACCTTCAAAGATCGCGTTCCATCATATTTTGAAGGGTTGTTCCCTTAAAAATTTGTAGAGAGCAAAGTTTTCAATTTTAAATTTCACTTATCGAAAATGAAATTGAGACCAAAATGAATTTGGACACTGCATTTTACGCTTCTTAGTGGCTTCAGTAAAATTTGTTTTAACAGTAGGATTTCAAGGCAGTGCCTCAGAAATAGTTTAAAAACTGATTTAAAAAGGCTTTAACCGGAACTATTTTTGGAAGAAACTTCTTCTGCATGCTAGATCTTCAACGAATGTTTTCGAAGAAATATTGCATTAGAGAGGAGCGTTGAACAAAAACCGTTACGAGAAATCCATTTTTGGCATGTGTAACACCTACTCACCAGTGTTCCCCAGTGGCACTTTGAAGTTCCAGAAGCCCTATTTTATTCCCATAAGCGAAACTTTTGCTCACACATTTTTCTTTTAAGTAAGCAGAAAACTAGTCTAATTCATTTTATTCTCTTACATAACGCAGTTGATTTTATTCCACTTTTTTGCTTTCACCTGCACTTTTATCTGTTCTTCTTTACCTGCCGACTCACCTTTTATCAGCTTTTAACTATATTTCACACAACAATAGTTTTTTTACTAACTATCTTTCAGATCATTTTCACTTGTTTTCTCATCCTAGAATTTTGTTTTGTTTTGTTTTTTATGCTTTTACATATCTTTTCGTGACTGCTCTAATTTGAAAGAGAATCAGGAATCTACAGATATTTGTTTTTTACGTTTCAAAATTTAAAGTTTTGCTGTCATTCTTGTCCCAAAGAAGCCAGTTTTTGGAAGTAATACAGGTACAGAGATTTACAACTTCAACTTCTTTGCTTACCCTAATTTCGTTCTGTACTAGATCAGCATTAGCACTTTTGTGCAACTGTTTGTAGATGTATTCTGACAAAGCCAGCACCTAGTCTACAGTCAAACAAAAATACAACTCCTTTTCAAAACAGCAATTAAGCTTTTTTATAGCAAATCTACAAAACAGCCTCTCACACTTATCATAACCCTCTCTGACCATGGCTTTTGTAATGAAGGACGACTTTCCTAATTTGCCTTTTCCTGTAAAACTTATTTAAATATTATGTCAACTACTAAAACCTCGGTTCTCTCCGATGAGATACACCAGCGCAAAACAGTTTCCGTTATAATCCAACGTAGTTTTCTCTGAATGCGACGTCGCAAAAGCATATATCGGGTCTGTACCATCAGTAAAAGATGGGATTCCTCGTCCTTCCGTATACGTCAGTCCAATCATCCTAGACTCAATTAACTTTGCTTCATCTCGCACCTTGTTTTCAAATAAGGTACCTGTAAATATAGTCCTAAAACTTATATTTTAGAATTAAGTGCGTCTTTTAAAATAGTAAGACTAAAAATCCTGCTGATGCAAACTGCTAGATATTGTCAAAAGGCGAAATAGGTCGCACAAATAAGTTAGTTGACGACATAAAGACATTAAACAGGGACGCGAGGCAAAGAAGACTTAAATAGTACAGATCCAATTCGGCTCATTTATATAATGTACCTTCTAACCAAAAACTGCTATGTGAATTTTTTCAGCAAATTGCTACGTTTGGGCAAAGGATAAACTAAAAAGTATTTTTCAGCGGTATCAGTGCTTAAAATGAACGTATACTTTACCAGAGATGTGTAGGTCCAGCTTGTTAAGTCTAACCAACCAATCATCGTGATTGCATCAGGAACTTGAAAAAAGATCAAACCCAATATAAATGTTGCTATAAAAATCAGTAAACATAAACTTACGAACTAAGAAATTCATTTCTCCCTTGTCAGCCACTGAGAGAAGATGTCCGTTGAAATATTCTTTGCAAAAACTCTCTGCGTCATGAAAGTTCTCAATGCGAATTTCACGAGTAACCTGAGTGCAAAAAAAATTTGGCTGATAAAGGATATAATTAGTTTTTGCAAATCTTCTGCAGGTTTTTCAATTTTATTAAAAGTATTTGGAGAGATTAAACTGCTTTTTTTATTTGAAAGACGTACCTCCAGGTCACGCAAACAGTAACTCTCACCCGTCTGCTCATTTTTAACCAGAGGAGGAGGCAATTTATATTTGAAATCTGGAGATTTTGATTGCGCGACTTGACACAAACCTATTTTTTCTGAAATACTACAAACTTAAGTGCGTATATTTTGCAAGAATTTTAAAAATGCTTACACTGCTGCATGATAACCACTAAAATTTCTTAATATTTTGGCTGTCTTCCTTTACTACAGGAATATGAAGTAATGATAACTGTTTTAATAATACAAAGTAGTGCTTGTCAAAAAGAATTGTAAAAGCCAAATTGGGTAATCCCAAGATCAGGTAAATAAATACCTTTCATTTTTCCTTTCTTGCCCCCGATAACAAAAAGAATCTTTGCTGTTAGTGTCCCTCATTGTCCTTTTCTCCTTCATATTAAAGTTTCATTTTCTATAGCAGATAGTTGCTAGCAATAATACTGCAGATCCCATAAAAAATCTTTTTAAAAGAGATTTCTTCATTAAAGACTGATTTTTCTTCCTCCTTCAAACGACTGATTTATGACCTCGATTGCTGCGATGCGGTGAAAGGAGATTTTTGGTTTCAAAAAAGTTGAAATAATTTCGCGTAAAACATACACTTTCTCCAAACGGTACTGTGAATCTCCTATATTTTTATAGTTACCAGGTCTCAGCTTTTGATCTGTATAACCGCTGAGAAAATCCAGAAGAATGTAATCTTCAACAAACTATAATCCGTCAAAGATGAAATTGCTTACTGTACGTGTTGTCTCTTCTAAGAGCGGTTGTATTCTGAAAAAAACTGCGGTCAGTTTTTCAAAATATAATCAGTGTGAGATAAAAAAAAGTTAACCTCTCTCTGTTGTCCATTTGGAAAGTACATAGCTGATATGTTCCTTAATTTCAAGCACATTATAGGGGAGAAGAATAGCGTCAATTGGGGCAACCTCTGCTAATGAATTTCAGCAGGGTTTAGCATGCAAAGATGCAAAAATGAAATACTTTGGACATTTTATAGCCTCAAAGTAGAAATTTAAATAGACGTATCATGCTGAAATAAATCATTGATAGATTATTTTGAACTTTTAATCCCTTTACCTGCAGTACCTGAGCTCAACGCACTTGCTTCTACTTTTTAATTCCACTGTTGCAGGTAGCGCTTGGAATAAAATGTGAATAATGTTTAAAAACTAAATAATGGAACTTGGAACGTTACTAATGCATTGACTAATCTCCAATCTTAAGCACCCTAGTCTTGTTTAAACAAAGGCCATTTATAACAGAAGACCTATTCAGTATTCTCTTTGTTTTCTGTAGTTGATGGGACTCGAATAGTTATCCACTAGCAGACGCCAAGTGGACTTCTCTAACTTCAATATGTCAATAATTTTTCAGATGTGCACAGTTTGAAAAAAAAATTATGTGATGTACCCTTCTTGTTAAATATCTTTCAAGTTTCTCAAGAAATAGAGCCACTTCTTTGTACATTTACTTTTTAAATTACTCATTTGCTGATTTTGGTATTTCATTACTCCCGGTTTGTTTTAACTTGCGCTGTTTTTTCAAAAAGAACTTGGTGAACGACAACTGCTCCAATAAAGTGAATCAAGTTGAAACAAACATTCCAGTTATACCGCCTATGACAGTACGCCGTATAGCTAAAAGTTTTAAGAGAACTAAGGTTTAAAAATCTCGGTTTATTTCCGTAATGTCTCAAAAAGTAACTAAGCCCTCAGCCTTTTGTGAAGAGCGTCAATCTTTCAATTAACTTCTTTCAAGTGCCATTTTACGTACCCTGCAAACACGGTACATTATATTCACTTTGCGAAGGAATAAAAAGTTGATATCGATCGACGCAGCAAAATATTTCACGTTGACAGAAATTGACTGTACTCTAAACCAAAATGTCTAGACTACACCTTTAAGAAAAATAGAACTACACTTAGACAAAAAATTGTAAATTGGAATGAAAGCGCCACCGCTCCCAAGATACTGCTAGCTGTACTGTTAGGAACTGACACATCTTTTGAAAGATCTACACTTTTGAAAGTAAATTAGTTTGGGAAAGACGGATTTGACCTGCTTGCAGATCTGGTAGTACTACATGCATGATGTTTTTAGAGCACTTAATTAGGAAGAAAAACGTCTAGGCAATATGGTGGTTAAATTAATGTGTCAATGTCCGGACCTTCCAGTTCTCCTAGGATCTTCTTTAAAATAAGCTTCGTCAAATTGTTAAACCATAAATGCCCACGTTAATGGATATCCCGAAGGTCTCAACAACTCTTTTCGAGAGAGATGTTTTGTGAACTCATAGTATTCGAATGTTATTCTAGCTTAATAATTACCATATTTTCGCTTACAAAGAAGAAAAGTGGCTTTTGTCCCATTCAAAGTGGCAAATGACAAGTTCATCAGCTCACTCAATATATAGATAACCCGGTCTTAAAAATCCGAGGAATTTAAAAAAAAATTTTATTATTCATCTTATTATACCAAATGCTCAAAATACTCTTTACCTTCCTTGCTTTATCAGCCAGCCTTCTCGTTCGAGGCGGAATATCAGCGAGTGGTGATTTGCAGACAAACACTGAAAATAAGCCACAGCGATCCCATACTATAGCGTCTGTAAGAAGATCAACAGAAACACTCCACGAATAAAAACACAAATTAAAATAAGTGCAATGTTTTTTTAAAAAAATGAATAGTAACAAGAGCATTGAGAACACTCTATTAAACTAACTGAGATAAATTTCTCGCTTTTTATTTCTTAAAACGAGTTTGCATCGCTCTCATTGATTCCAACTTCTGATCAAAGACAGGGATGAAACAATATGAATTGCCATCTCGTAAACTTAGCTTATTTTAACCGTATTTATCCAGTTAAAAGCGTGCTTACCTATTTTGTCTTTGTAGTATCGCTTAAAGTACAAACATAAAGGATGGTATGCATCCTTTCTTAAAAATGCTCGTGCATTTACAAAGCTATCATTTGTACCATCGGTGAATGCAGCTTCTTGCTGGTCTTCTTCCCTTATCTTCAGACCAGCGTAGACAAGCATATCAAACTGTCGAGTAGCGGAAAAGTCTCCAAAAACATCAGCTGTAATGATATCAGTATAAATGTTCACAAGTTTTGTTTCTAAATTTGTAACTTGTGTGCCAACTTTAATGTGTCCTCCCAACCATTCTCTTGTTGGAAAGAGTATAAAACAGTTCTTTGATCAAGGACTTAAACTTACAATTTACAACTGAGATTTCTTCGTCGTTGTTTACTGAAATAAGATGACCACCAAATTTTATTCTACAATATGTTTCAAGATCTTCTTCATCCCCAACAAAGTGACCCTTTTCATTCTTCTCAAAAAGCTCGTCACGAATCTAAACTTTAGCACTACCAATGCTAACTGCGCCTCACTGGTGAAGCTGCAAGAATAGTAGAGCACAAGAGAAACGAATGCATGCAACTAAATGCGAATTAATGAAAGTGAAGTAAAAACTAATGCTTTTTTCCACAAAGGATTTTAATACCGCTGCCGAACAGTGAGTTCAAGTGGCTGCAACATGGTGACTGCAGAATGTGAATTCTTGGTGGAAGGCTTGCAGATAAGCATTGACGTCAATTTTTAGGTTACTAGCTACGAGGTCATTTGCGCTAAAAGCGTGGTAATTATTTGCCCTGAGCGCTACAATATTGCAAACTCCTTCCTACATGCTCCCACAAAGACAGAAGTCACTGCAAAAAAGAAATATAACTTGCAACATCAACTACGACCGCCCTAGCCGAACTAACACAGTTGAGTGGTTTGTTCTCAGCGCTTTCTAATAACTATATGTTAGTTACAGGCTAAATATCCTGAATCACAAAGTTTTCTAGAAACACAAAAAAAACAGGTATAAAAACAACTAATTTGTAAAATCGACCGATGACTCCTAATTAGACAAGTAGCCCGTTCCCAGAGCTCCCTAATAAGTATAAACTGATTCCTGGTTCCAAAATGAATAATTCTTAATAAGAGAAAAAGTTTCTGGAAGTGCAGCATGCTTCCACAAGAAACATGGGATAGCTCAGAAAAGTAATGAGAAACTTGAAAAAAAAAAAAACAGACTACCCAAAACAAGAGTAATTTAATTAAATTGCTTACTGTTAAAACATTCTAGCAACTATAAAATCTCTTTAGAATGAGAATCATAAGTAGCTAAAAACCATTCTGGCCTTATGTCCGTATTAAAGTTCATTTTCAAACAGCCGGCATTGTTCCAGCAGATACGCATTTCTTTCAGGCAGGACCCTTACAAGCAAACGTCATTACATCCCTTCTGTCTCGGTAAAGTCCCTTAAAATCGACATAACTCAACAACAGCTAGACAGCCCAGGCAGAATTTCAATGATTACAGTAATACCAACAGAAGCCGGGAGTAAACGAGATAGAACTGCATTCAGGATTTTTGTAAGCTACCAACCAGTTGCACCACCGTAACCCTCTGTCACCAAAAGGAAAAATTTAGCAGCAAATAAAGGTTAACTGCAATATTTGATCTGGTCTCTAGTGAACAGTACATTTCTCTCCTGTATTTTTCCCTCAAAGCGCTTTCTTTGGAAAAGTTAGAGGAAATCATTGAAAAATATATTTTTTTCATTTTCCTCAGGACGTGTAAAATGTATTTTTTCAAATTGGAGTGATTTGACCAACTCAAGTTAAAGTAAAAAAAAAAAAAGACCTAGAGCTATTTCTGGGCAACTGCAAATGCATTTATTCTCACTCACTTTTTTTTCAATTTCATTTTCAGGAATTTTAAACCGCGAGCAAATTAAAAAATAAACAAGATAATTCAAGTATTCCTTTCAACATAGCACTGGTCATTTTGCACAGCCATTGACTACCAGACATCAAACTCAAATTCTAGACTATTTTTCCCTCTTTAAAGGTTTTTTGATACTACTAAAGAATAATTACAAATGGCTTACTCGACCATAAATTAAAAAACTGTAGTAATTTTTTAAGTAAAACGCAACAAGCATACACTAGGGAAGAAATAACAATATTGTCCCTTGCCATCAATCCTGGAAACCACTCGCGGCTTAGAATGGTAATACGCCATTGGAACACCTTTACAGATCTTGCCAAGCTCTTAAAAAAGTGATTATGATTTAACTCCGTTACAATAATGCTACAGCTCGTGATACATACCAAACCTGTAAATACTTCATGTAAATTATTTGCTTTTCTTCAATAGACATCTCTTCAACAAATGCTGCAGCGAAAGTTCTAGTGATCCATCGCAATCATCTGGCTGCTGCAAAAATCTCTGCAGATTTTTGCACCAAAATACAATTGGCTTAACTTTGTCTCAGCTTGATTCTATTAGTATGGGTAAGAACCTTTATTATCTACACAAAATTTCCACTATAATGCAGGCTACAAGAAGAATCAAAATAGGAATCTACAAGTCTAAATGCCAATGATTCACATATACTTCCCCGTACATCCTCTACTTCACAAAACTTTTCACAAACAGTTACTTTCCCCAAAAACGAAAACCACTTCCAGACAGAACAGAATAGCTGAATGGATGCGGTATAACCTGTTAAAACCTCGCATATCAACTCCAGTTCCATATTCTTGATTCAACTCTACAAACCTTTAGTTTGACATTTGAACAGAGAATTATTCTTCCTTTCTCAAGAGACATCGCCTCAATTTCAAGAATTCCTTGTCCACCTCCGTCAGTTCGTCAAAGTGCTTTTTCTACGGCACCCGTTTTACGAGCCATAGGATACTGAAGCTAATAAAACTTACCAGGAATTACCTGTTGGTAAAGATAAACCGCTCCTAGTGAATAGTCGGCTCAAGCACAAGCACGGCTAGTTGATTCGCATTCAATCATACACCTGATTGTCTACACAAATACACAGGATCCACGTTCCTTGCATATCACAGTTTGATCAAGACACAAATCACATTTGTAGCGTATAAAAGCGCAATTATACGTCAACGAGCTTTCTTCTTTGCTCTGCAGTCCTAATGTTGCATCTATGTTCTTAGTTTCTTCATTTCAGTAAAATATTGATGATACCCACAAGTTTAATCGTGGAGAAAGCAAATTTCCTCTTCTAACTTCCCGGTGCTTGTTATAGACTCTTTCTCAAACTCGACTTTCAATTTATCTTCGTCAACAGCGCTCATTCGTTTTCCAAACGTTCTACCTTGCAGCGACCCACCTCCGTCCTCATATCCCCTATACCAAAGCTGAATCGTTTTCTCAGTAGCTGACAAAGTCTCAAGTGCCTGAATAACCTTCCTTGCAACAGCACTGAGACCACCCTTTCAATAAAAAAGGCAGTATATTTGAGGCTGCTTAACATTCGTCGTTGGAATAATGACACTTGAAGCAAGTCAAAAGTAAAAAAAAAAAGAAAAGCAAGGTATGGTAAAGCAGAAAATATACTTCTCAACTTTATAGAAATTCATAACCAACTAATTGGTTTTAACAGTGATAACGTACTACAGAAGAGCTTTACAACAGTCATCGCATTTGAATACAAGTTAACAGCTTCTATAGCTTTTCGCCATCACAGTGCCGCACAGCGTGTTACTTCCATACCATAATTCCGCCAAAAAAGAAAAAAGAGAAGAAAAAAGTAACTCACTGTATTTCACATAAGTCCCCTAAAAGAAGTTTTAGTTAGGAATTTGAAACATAGAATTCTATTACGTCAGTTGGTGTTCTGAAGTCCCGGACGTAAGTGAAATTAAAGCATGCAAATTTAAAATTGAATGTTTTTGAAAAATCAAAACTTTTGAAAAATTACGACACTTTGCTGTTCCGCCTCTTGTCAAAGCTTTATAAATAGCATCTAATTACTAAACCAAAAAGCCATTTTTGCAAGGCAGGTTGCAAGGCATTTCCACTGCTCCCAAGGAATATCAAGAATAATGGCCTGCTTTGCTATTACCTAACTGTGTATTTTCACAAGTGCCAATTACCAAACAAAAAATTAAAACTTCTTACAGGTTCGCCGACTGCATCTTTCCGACAAGTGACAAAATAATTCTCGATGCATGAGTGTCTAAGAACATAAGCTAAAAGTATTTTGTCGGCACGATATTATTCACTTGTAACAAAAAGATATTAGGCGTCTTCCTTTTTACGATGGATGCTAGTATCAATACAAAAGTAAAAAAAATAAAATCTAGAGGGCCAGTGAAATATATTAGTTAAAAAAATAATCACTGGCCTTTTCTTTCCCTGGGATCTTTGGTACACATCATAAAGCATTTTCCTGGTAAAGTAGGATCCGATATTTTTTCGACATATTCCAATGATTTGCCATCAGAGAAAATTTTTTTCTTCTCGTTCACTGGCAAGGCTGTACACAATATCGTTGAAATCGTTTCCATCGTGTGGTAAAATATATCTAAATTTACGTGATTTATTTTATAAGCCATTAGCACTCTGGCCGGCTAAAACAGCGAAAAAGCGAGAAAAAGAGAAAAAAGTTTGAGAAAAAAGGCAAAATTTTTCATAAATCTACAATAATAGAATCAAAAACTTCAGAGTAAACTTTTTTAGAGCTAGCAAATCACTCAACAAAAAAAATAAAAAAATAAACGAAAAATAAAAAAATAAAAAAACTTTAGCAAACTTGGATCTTCAAACCAGAAATCAGTTCTTAAAAAAACAACCCTTATTCGATGAAAAATTAGGCTACCACCAAAAATGAATTTATTTTCATTCTTCCGCTCAATCACCCTATGCTGCACTTAACTCAGACTAGGATTGATAAAATCAAATCTGCTCTTTATAATTTCCTTCAAGGTCAAAAAAGCTTAAAAGTTTGCTTGAAAATTGAAACATGTAAAACTTTATAATAAACCTTATGCTTGAAAAACCAGCAATCGAACAAATTTTACAAAATTTAAAAAAATGACAAACACAAATTCTGATCTAAACCGTGCTTCTAACAAATTAAAAAAACTAAAGAGCTAGCTAGATTTTTTCGTATATACTATTAATCAGCATCGTATTTTTGTACTCATCACCATTTTCCAAAAATTTCCCTTGCAATTCCAACATAGAAAGGCTTTGAGTGAGGTAAAAAAATTATTCACTAAAGAAATTATAGTTGAAAACGCATACTAAAATAAAGGTTATATTCTTTTTCACTTGATATTGACACGGTTGTAGATTGATGGTGAATATTTT